GCACACTGTGTTAGTTGTTTTTTTTTTATGTGATATGATTAGTTGGTAGTTAAATTCATGAATGTTTTTTGATATTTATGAGGAACCTGTTTTGATTTTCAAAGAATTAATTTTAATTCTTAGAAAGAATTAATCTTGTAATCTTTATTACAATATCTGTTATTTTGCTTTTTAAGTTCCACCTTAAATGTACACTACTGCTTATGAGATAAAATGAATGTATGTAAAATATAATTTATACTAAACCACATTTAATAAAACTAAAAAGTGTATGTATGTATGTAAAATATAATTTATACTAAACCACATTTAATAAAACTAAATAACGTATATTTTCTTTTTTTGTATTTTGGGATTACCTTTTCTTCAGAGGCATCACAACAAGATCAAGCTTCCCTGTGTAAACTATAAACCACACCATAAGAACTTACTGATTCTTTACTAAGTTTTTTAAATTACTAAACAGTCCATTTAAATAAAAAAATATTCATATATTGCCAATTCACAACAAATGCAGCATAGGAGAAGTTTACAACACAAAATGTATACAAATTTTATCCAGGATCATAAAATTCTGTGTAAATTCAGTTTGGAGAAATCAAATTTCTTCCATATAGTTTGGTTCAGCACTGATGAGGCAAATCAAATGTATTTGATTGTTTTCTGCCAATCTAAAGACATTATTAAATAAAAACAAAAAACCGACAGACTTGTTGTGATTTAACGGGCTAGCTTAGTTCTTAAGCAAGTTAACAGTAAAAATGATATAGAAAGATAAACGAAACAACACAAACATGATTAAATGCTTTCAATAGACCCGTATAAGAGGAAATAAAGAGGCTCAAAAGTACAGAGCTGAGTGTTGATTTATTTACATTTTAAGACAACCAGATCCAGTTTATATATGAAATACTAAGTCAATTCAGTCCAATTAAACAGACAGATCCAGAGTTAAGTATATACATAATCACTATATTAATTATGCCCAACTCTGACATATTTATGTCCACCCGAGGAGGGGTGGTAAATACGTATTTAATCAGATAATATTCAGACTGTCATATATTGTTTGTGAACACAAGTCCTACTGGCTCTGTGTTAGAACAACAAATGAAAGTGTGAATCGAACTCAAATCATGTCCAAACAGATAACTCTGGATGTATCTGGAATAAATTCACCATAACTTCTGTTCAAAATATCAGTTTATTAACCATAAATAATTCAGCTCCTTGTAAAGCATGTTACAGTTAAAACATCTTTACTAAACTAGTGAAACTCAATGAACTAAGCTACTTAGTACAAAGAAGAAAAAAAAATTGGTTGACTAGAATCAATAAAATTATGCAAATAACATTAAACTCTAGCATGGATTATATGTTTGAGAAGCAAATTTTATCTGGAATAACTTTGAATGTGAACAAATTAACATTTAGCTAATGTAGAGCAGTTGGAATGTGTTCAAACTAATTCACAATGCAAATCCAAGAGGTAAATAAAAAAAAAAAATAAAAAAAACAATTATCCATCTATCTGCTTCCACTTCAGCAGAGGAGATGATGCCATGGTGATCTCCAGCAGTCTATAGGTGAGGTATAACCTCTACAGGTCCACAGTCTGTCGCAGGGCTACACAGAGGCATACAAAGACACACAACCATACACACACTCACACCTAACGAAAATTTAGAGAAACCAATTAACCTAACAGGTTAGATTTGTTAACCTACAGTAACAGTCATGTTTTTGGACTGTGTGAGGAAGCAAGAGTACCCAGAAAGATGTGATGCATGCACAAAGAGAACATGCAAACTCCATGCAGAAAGACCCCAGGTTGGAAATCGAACCCTGAAGCTTCTTTCTGCAAGGCAACGGTGCTACCCACTGCTACACCATGCAGCCCCTTGGAAAATAATGGTTTATTAAATTATTTGCTTAAACAGATATCAGTAATCTTTAGTTTATTGATTCTGAGGACTTCCATTTAATGAATTTTGGTCATAATTTGTAATCCAAATGTAATGAGCATATGAGAAAACACATGAACATTAATGTTATAATAGTGTTTAAACCCTTAGTGAAGTAAAGACCACTTTAGCTTTATAAACAACAGATCAAAACATGTCAGCATGGCGTACCATACGGTTCAACCTGTTAGCGTGTCTTTACCTAAAAGTTAACACATGAAATTATCCTAAATCATCAAAGAAACAAATTAGGTGGCTAGAAACTCTCACTGGCTTGTGTGTCAGACCTTCAACCTCTGTATCCCTGTTTGGAAAGCTTGAGTTTTTCTCCAGCATTTAGCAGACGGCCACACATCAGGGGTTACACACCTCCAGCCTCTTCTAGGCATCTAAATGTCCTGAAACTCAGAGAGAAATGTTGCAAACAGCCCAGTTTGCAGCAATATGGTTCTGAGGGGGGTTGGGGGGATGCATGACCTGTGGGGGTGTCTTGGAAGTTTGGGGGCTGCATTAGGGAGGTTGTAGAAGCTGAAGAGTCCAAACTGCAGGCAAATTATCCTCCTAACCCCATGGTATACAAATTGGTTCTCAGTGTCCACAATGATTATCAAGGTTTATTGCACAATATGAAAAGTCATCTTTAAATGACAATGCAACTTCATACATGTCAATCACATTTGACTTCTGCATGAGACTAAAAGGTTTTGCATTGCCTCATTTTTTAAACATGAAAGTAGACAGCAGGTATCAAATTACTTTTATTTGACAGGGCATTAATCAAGACAGTGAAATGTGTGGGAAGAAAGCAGGCAGAAAGCTAATGCTACCAATACTCTCTAATGTGATTGTGTTCCTGGAAACAGAACAACTTTTCCAATCTTCTTAGGGACAGCAACAGGTCATACTTTTCATTCCAGCTGAATATAACATTGGATTTTGACAGTTCTCGTTTATAATTTGATGGCAAAAAATGTAGCTGAATCCAATTGTTTGGAGTGGGAGATGTATACAAGAAATTAAAAGAAGCATACCACAGAACTCTGATGAGGGATATCTTGTTATTGGTGTGATTGTTAAGGACATAAAACTTAAAAACATCTCTGTCCTAAAAAGAAAATGATTTGTTCTATTAAAAATTAGGCTGACCAACTGGAGACCAGCTCATTTTCTTAAAATTTTTTCATGCATTTTATTTATGTAGCAATCCACCTAATTATAAGATTTGATCAAAGTTATTCTTCGCTCAACAGATCCTAAAGCATTAAGCCACAGAGTTCAGACATCAGCAGCTCACTGATGAAGGAAACCGATATTTCCCCTAAAAATACTGCAAGGAAATTAGTGCTTTCATACAAACCTCTGCTCCATAACTGGAAAAAAAACGAATAATATTATTCGTATTATTATAACAATAATAAAAGAAAACAAAAATAATCTTTTTTTAAAGTTTGTGTTTTCATTTGTATTTTTAAATAATCCCAGGTGAATTCAGCAATTTG